GGGCGCTAGCTCCGCGTCTCCCTGGTCTGCTGGGGGGAAGTGCCCCTCGTGCCGCTGGAGGCGGTGACAGTGGGGGAGGCAGCCCGCACTAGCTGCGCCCCCCCCCTCCCGTTCGTAACTAGGGATCCGACGCAAGTCGGATTGATGTAACCCGGGGACTTCCTGTATATAACAAAAGGGTAAACACAAAACTGAATTATTTTCTAAATTTAGGGTAATTAACAGCAAGTGCAAATTACAGACTGACTTGCTGTAGGAAGCTCTTGTTTTGCTAATTCCTTCCATCAGTACTCTCCTAAGCACAACAGGGTGTAGCCTTTAATAATTCTCAGCCTAGCAGGAAAACCTGGTGTAATCATGAAGCTCTACTTAGCCTTGCTTGTAACATGAACAGTCACCTGGATTTATGATGTGTGAGGAGGATCAGCAATATGATTTACACTGTTCCTGGGTATCAACATTCATACTAGCTAAACACTGAAGATGAACAAAAGGCTTGTTTTTGAAAACACATTCACAAACCTAAGTCCAAATATTTAAAATGAAATTAAATAGAATTTAAAGCCCTATTCAGCATTCTTTACTCCTCCCTCCCAAAAAATTCCAATTGGTATGAGTGAAGGTCTTTATTTCAGAAGAGGAGAAAATGTGACTTGCTTTTATGCATTTAAGGCAATTACAGCACATAGGACCTGACTCTGCCGTGGTATCTACACTGTACATCACATGATTCTCTGCAAAAGGGTTTCCACTTACAGTACTGTGCCATATTATGTATGCATGTGGTTCTTTACAATTAGGATTACAATGGTCCACCAAGCCATAACACTATTTAATCCCTCTTCCAAGTGTCCCGATTTAAAAAACAAAACAAAAAATGGAACATTGTCCCATATTTCCCCGGGGGGGCAGGAAGAGGAGCCGCCAGCGCTCTGGGATTCAGCCCCACGGAGGGAAGGGGAGCTGCTGGTGTTCAGGGCTTCAGCCCCACAGCGGGGGAGGGGGAGAGCCAGAGCCACCAGTGCTCGGGGCTCTAGCTGCTAAAGCTCTGAGAACCAGCAGCTCCCCTTCCCTCCCCACCTTGCCTGCTGTGGGGATGAACTTCATTTACTAAGCAGAACAGAGAGGGCAGGGAGCCAACAGCACTTGGAGCTTCAGCCACTGGAGCTCCAAGTGCTGGTGGCTCCTGTCTCCGCCCCCACTCTGGGGCTGAAGCCCCAGGCGCCAGCAGACTCATCCTCCACCCCCTTACTGTCCTGTATATTGGGCATGGGGAAATACGGTCACCCTACATAACATACATGCTTCATTTAGATCTCCCTTGAGAATACCAGCTGTAAGTAAATCAGTTTTAGCCACCTTATCTTTAATTTTTATATACAGTAAATGCAACAACAAAAGCCACACAACCACCAAGATGCAGACTTGCCTAGACTGACCAACTATGTGATCTTAATACTTCAGCTCTTAATTTCACCCTTTGCTCTCTACTCTGTATCACTCTCACTTGTAAAAATTTAGATTGTAAGTTTAGAAACAACTACCATATTCTCTTTTGCTGTGTAGCAGTGTTCCCTCTAATTTTTTCCATCCACAGGAGGA